TCACTTCAGAGGTCTGAAATAACAAGGTGTAGAGTTGGATGAACACAGCAGGTGCTCCTCTGATGCTGTCTGATGCTGCTTGGCCTGCTGTGTTCATCCAGCTCTACACCTTGTTATCTCAGATTCTCCGGCATCTGCAGTTCCTGCTACCCCTCTCCTGTGAATTGATTTAGTTGTCAAGTTCTTGTTCTTGGATTGGAACAGTTGTATGACCATTAGATGAGAGGTCCATGGCAGGTGAAATAAATGTTACAAACAGGAACTGGCATTTTGGATCATTGAAGCAAGATTAAGCAGAAGCAAATACTGCAAATGCCGAAAATATGAAGTGAAAACAAAAAATGCTGGAATGCTCAACACATCAGGCAGCATTTGTTGAGAGCAAAACAGAGTTAACGTATCAGGTTGATGACCTTTCTGACAATAAGTTACTCTGTTTCTCTTAAGCGGAAGCGGTTCAATTGAAACAGACTCCTTCAATAGCTAGCAATTGTTAACAATAAAAGAAACACAATGTAAACATGAAGTGCAAGTAGAAACAGACTGAAATGAATTATGCAGCATACCACCCTCTTTAAAAGTGTAGGAATTGTATGCAGGAAATCTGAACAATATTTATTCACTAATAATTGATTGCTCAAAAAAATTATTTCAAGTAAATTTGATTGTTGTTTTCACTGGAAATTGCCTATTCATGGCATGGTTACAGATTCCATAAGCATTTTTCCCCAATTAGCACAATCAAACAAAAACATCACATTACTGTAGACTACCATATCTTACCTTAACTGCTACATTAAGTTTGGCTGTTTTTTTGGAAGGTCCTGAGGCTTCATAGGTTTTTCCATCAACATCCACGGACATAGTGAAAACAGGTGCATGCACAGGACCAGATTGTGAAAGAAGCTTGTATTGCAAGCCAGGTTTAATTTGATTCAGTCTCATCAGAGCATTCATAGGTTGGTTAACATCTATTGCTTTGCTTTCCATTACTAAAAAAAAGTGTAACATAGAAAATCTTAAAACTCTTGAAAGTTTTAATTTTGTTACAAAGAATACTCCTACTTTAGAAATAAAACTATAATGTTTCTGCCTGAAAGCTTAACATGAGGAAAATTTAAGATGTATAAAACAGTATTGTTTTCACCAAGTTTTTTTTTTATATGGGACTTAATGTGTCCTCAGAAACCCTGCTGATTTTTTTTTCCCATGTAGCCAGTAGATGTTATTTCAATAAAACATTTAACTGATAAGTTACTGGGAGGTTAAGTACAATCTTACCTTCCCACAGTGTACTGCAGGCACGGGTCCAACATTATGGGGAAATTATCACCATTGTTAGCAGGTTTACTCCTGCCTGTCCTGTACTTTCTAATTTGACTGAACTGATGCTCAACTGAACTGACTTCAACTGTAACGGTCAGAGGCGGGGATGGAGCCAGTAAAGGTGAGTGTAGGTGGGGATGTAAGGAGGAGATAGGTCAGTCCAGGGAGGATGGACAGGTCAAGGGGGCAGGATGAGGTTAGTAGGTAGGAGATGGGAGTGGGGCTTCAGGTGGGAGGAGGGGTTAGGTTGGAGGAAGGACAGGTTAGGGAGGTGGGGACAAGCTGGGCTGGTTTTGGGATGCGGTAGGGGGAGGGGAGATTTTGAAGTTTGTGAAGTCCACATTGATACCATTGGGCTGCAGGGTTCCCAAGCAGGATATGAGGTGCTGTTCCTGCATCCTTCGGGTGGCATCGTTGTGGCACTGCAGGAGGCCCAGGATGGACATGTCGTCTGAGGAATGGGAGGGGTAGTTGAAATGATTCGCGACTGGGAGGTGCAGTTGTTCAGTGCGAACCGAGCGTAGGTGTTCCGCAAAGCGGTCCCCAAGCCTCCGCTTGGTTTCCCCGATGTAGAGGAGGCCACAACGGGAACAGCGGATACAGTATACCATATTAGCAGATGGTCTGTCTCCTCTCCACCTATCTTCTCCTCTATCCATCTTCTATCCTCTTCCCCCTCTCTCCCTATTTATTTCAGAATCCCCTTCCCCTCCCCAATTTCAGAAGAAGGGTCTAGGCCCGAAACGTCAGCTTTCCTGCTCCTCTAATGCTGCTTGGCCTGCTGTGTTCATCCAGCTCTACACCTTGTTATCGCAGATTCTCCAGCATCTGCAGTTCCTACTATCTCTGAAACAATTTCAACCCCACTGCAAAGCCTCTTCTAAGGATGCCTACCTTGAAGAAGTTACCCTCCTCCCTCCGGAAAGACCTCAGTGGATCTCTCCCACTGCAACTCTCTCGTAATCTCTTCGGCCCTGACACTGCTCGACCACGTCCTGAAGCAAACCAGATACTACAGCCACATCACCTTTCTTAGTACCTGCCTACGGAACCAGATCATCCCCAATGGACTACCGTCCACATTCAGGCCTTCCCAATTTGGCCCCAACTGCAACAATGTCTACATTCAGAACATTGAAATCCTTCAAAAACATTTCTCCCTGCGACTCCTGAAACACACACACTGAGCAATGCGCCGGCATCTCCTGGCACTACAAATCAAGCCTACCCCAGCTCAGAGCCTCCCTCTCCCAGACCTGCAAAGGACCTCTCCTGTTTTTTATTCTTCGTAGGATCCACAACCTGAACTCTCAATTCTATTCAGCTTTAGTGGACACTAAAAACCGTTAAGTACAGTAAACTCACTGGTGCCTGCCACCCAAAACGGGCTTCCTCCACCCCCCAAATCCCCATACCTACTCAGGACCTTCCCCACAAATGTGCCCGCTGCCATCGGCCATATGGCCACTTTCGGAGCACCCACGGATGACGTCACATCTGCCGCCGCTGCCAGGTACACCACTTCCGGGACAGCGAATGCCATCAACACCGCTGCTGATACCACTGCCTCCATTTCCGAGGCCAACACCACAGACACTGAGGACGCACCTGCCGACACCGCTGCTGCCGCCTACCCCGCTCCGCCCACCAATGCCGACATCGCTCCGCCCGTTGCCTCCACAGCCAGCAGCTCCAGGGGAGACAGCAGCACCCAGCCCTGCCGAGTCTTCACCATCCCCCCAGACCTCCCCCTTACTGAGGACGAACGGTCAGTCCTCAGTAAAGGGCTCACGTT